AGTCGACGTTCGTTGATCTCGTAAATGGTTGACTCAACCCCTGACAAGCGATACCTCTCTCATTTTAATACCTAGACTCTAGAAGACGTTTCGGTTCCCATCTGGTTTTTGACCTTGAGTAGTAGCGAGCTTTTATTAATGGAACTTTCCAAAAGCTTCTGTTCGTTACGGGTGAACGGTTTAGGGGAGTTGTGTTACGTTTTTAAGGGCAGATCTACGGTTAATTTTCTCGTAAGCATTTGAATATCAAAACAAATGTAACCGGAAACGATCAAAAACTCTACCGAAAAAAAAAATAATAATAATGTTAAATAATAATAAAAGATAGTGGCAAATTCTCCAGTAATTCATAACATCTTTAACAGTCAAATGTCGCCTAGACTGTTGAGATAATTGTTCTGTCAGCAAACGCTTAATGATCAGACACAATGGATTCATTAACGCTTTCATCAAGTGGAAGAAACTAGAATCATTAATTTGTCGACGAATTATAAATCTGAAGTAACATTTTTCCCTTACTTTTCTACGTCGAGTGCCTCCAAGATCTTATTTTTCGAATCCACAAGAATTGTCCATTACACAGAAAATACCAAATTATTATTATTGGCACTTCGTTCGTTGTCACTTAATAATATTTACTCAGAGCTTATATCACTTAAACTCTATAATCGAATCGTAAGGCAGGTATCCATTGTTCGAGAGTTTAATATTGTTCCACGGCATTATTTGTATAATACAATAGTGAAAAGACTTTCTACAACAAAGAAAATTTTAGCTCTTGAGAGTTATCGAGGCAAATCGAAGGGAAAGAATGTCGTTCGCCTTCTTTCCCTATAACGTCATCGATGATGAAGTATATTCGTGTTTACTTACGTTTCGCCCACTTGCATTAATATTAATTAGCAATTTTTAGGATTAACGCTGATCACATTCGCTGGTTAAATCGTGATGTTATCGCTCGCTCTCTCTCTCCCTCCTACGCTCTAACCATGACAAACCATTGAAAAATTCTTATTTTTCAAATATATATCTTTAAGTTTTAAAATATTCATAATTTTTATTATTATTTTATTTATTTTATTTTTCTTTTTATACATGACCTTTCGTGTATAAGATGAATAGAAAGGAGGAAACGAATTTATTAATGTATGCTATACTAAAGCGTGCAGACTGTATGCAAATTGATAAAATATATTTAAAAAGGAATATTAATAAACAGATTACATAAATATTTAGTCAAATAATTATTTATAACGTTATTAAATATTTTAATAAATCATTATTTTTAAAAAAAACGTATTAAAAACAACACTTTAAAAATTAATTGTTTTGTTTTTTTTTTTGTGTGTTTTATTGTTAAATTATGAAATAAAGTCTGGAAATTTAAAAACTTTATACTTGAATTTTGAAAGAATTTATTTATTAGAATATCTTTTAATGATCTTAATATGGAATAATCGATGAATATTTCGTGTAGGATGTATTTAGTTTCTGGAATATATTCGCGTGTCAAATGATTTGTTTGTCCAGTAAATTGCGTGTATTAATAGAAAGCTTTTCAAAGTTTATTCATTTAAACCTTTGAAGGAAAGCTTACATTTTTCTTCTAATTATTTAATGGTTCTTAAAAAATAAAAAAAATTAAAAAAAAAAACTAAAAATATTACATCTAATTTCGAGATTTTAACAAATTGCCTGCAAATTAAGATTGAAATATAGTCGTAAATTATTCTTAATTTGATTATTTTGTCGAAAAACTCTACTCATGTACTTAAAAAAAAAACAACAACAGCAACAGCAACAACAAGAAGAGAAAATGTCAAATCATTAAAAATGTAATCTAACTTGATAAAAACAAGTTTAGATAAAATGTGGATGATTTCTGCATGCAGAAAGCAAAAATATCTTTGATTTCAGACGAAATTATTAGAAAATAAATAGAATTTATTAATGTAACAAACAAACAATGAATTAAAAGAGTTAATTCATATTTTAAAAGATTAAATTTTACGTTTAAATCTCATTATTAATTGTAATCGAATTAAAATTCTAATTGATATTTAATATGATTTAGATAAGAGCCGAAAGAAAGTATTAAACCAAACGAATCCCGAAATTAATGATTAGAGAATTTGATAATTATGCATTACAATTCTTAGCAGATATTTATTTGATGCATTAAATAAATATTTAAAGCATTTATATGGTAATCTTATTTAATGTAAAAGTATTAGATAAGAGCTATAATTTTATATTATCGATAATATAACGTACTAATTAACTAATGGAAATTTTTATTTTATTACAGCTAATAAAACAATTGCTAATAAACAAAATAAATTAGTCATGTGTATATTTTATGTGTCATTTCTTAAATATTTTCTTATCCTCTATCGATATCTTCGAGTTCAAACGTTAAGATTATCTCAGCTTTTGTTTAAATGAATGCTTCTAACTGTTTTAAATCTGTTCCCATTCTAATAAATTTCTACTTATTTTTTGTCGTCGGTAATTATTTAAATTCTGTTTACGTGAATTAGTTCGATGCTTTCGTTTTTGTTTTTATAAATTTAATTATTAAAAAGAACAGCAATCGATGATGCTCTTGTAGAATCTTACTACAAAAGTTCATATAAACAAAAACAATAAAACAAAACAAAACTTGTTTATTAACATTCCTAAACCCGGAAAATGTCTTAAGGCTCTCGAATACTTCATTAATTGTTGATATTTTTTTAACATTTGTACATTACTTCATGATTTTCTCAGTGGCACGTTATACTATGGGCGAAAAGAACAATTGCCTGGGGTCCCCTATTGGTGAAGACCCCAGGCAATTGTCTGAAGTTAACACTATATATGGGGCCATCTAATTTAAATTTGCCTACGCTCCATAAAGTCATAATGGATTTTCTATAACTTTACATGTTCAAATAAACAACTTGGAGGAAGAAAGTTAATAAAGTCCTAAAAATGTAAGCTTGTTTTCTCAAAACTCTAAGTATTTATTGGGCTGCAATATGAAAAAATTGTAGACCTATGAATTCTACTGTCGTTCGTTCGTCTGTCTTTCTTTAATATAGCGAACGGAGTGAGATAGATGAAATCCAAGACCAGATATGGAAAGATTAGGGACAAGAGGCCCGATTAACTCTATATAAACTTCCAATGCAAACCGAAAGACACATTATTTCAATTCAAATATTTCCCCTGTAAGAAGTTAGATAGATGAATGCATGATCCAATTGTTAACAGGCAAAGTATGATGTACAGGGGCAAGATAGAGATGGAGAGCATATATTTTAAATTAAATAAATTTTAAAAAATATGATTAAAAATTGCAGAACGGCATTGTGAAAATGTCAGAATAAATAATTGTTCGTTTATTTCTTAAAATCTTTTTATAATAAGAAATTTAAACAGTTGTTTATGACTTATTCGTTTCTTCAAACCGATTTATCTATAAGAAGGCTGAACTAAAGCACAGTTAGTGAGCCTATTACTTAACAAATAACCTGTTACACAGCACTGTAATGTAATTACGAGTTATAAATATATATGCCATTTACGATAAGGAAGAGATTTTACATTCGCTGTTAACTATTTGATTTAAATAATTCTTAATTTTAAATAAATTCTCGTGCCTTACAAAATTCGAGACGATAATTAAAAGTAACGAAACTTTAACACTTGGAAGGGCATGAACTTCGATTGTTACGCAAAATACTGTCAAGAATAAATGATGTCATTTCGTGTCGTCATCGGTTCCGAAACGTATCGTTAAAACAAAGTTAAATTGAACGTATTTTATAGCCTATTTAAATTACGTAACTTAATATAATTTATATAATTATACGAGTTTAAAATTACAATATTCTATGCGATAAAATACATAAAAATTTAAAGAATTTGTAAATATTTTTTAAAAAATTTGAATAGATCGTTTATATTTTAATGTATTCTTCCAGAGAATTTTTCGAAAAGTTAAGGAAAAAAATTGATTAAAAATAGAATTTCGAAAATATTTCGAGACGAAATCTTCTTGAAAAATATATTCTAGTTCGATAAAAAGATTATTTTAAAAGTTTAAAAGAATTTATCAAAAAAAATCTTCTAAAAAACAAAAAAATATATATAAAAGAATCTTCGAATATTTCACATTTTAAAATTGTTTATAATCTTTATCTTCAGTATTTAATATTTGAGAAATATTATTCTAAATAAAAGCAAAACAATAAATCATAATATAATGTAAAGGTGGAAAGGAGAAACGTGATCCATCCAGAACAGATTAAGTTACTATCAAATATATACGGATGAAAGGCTCATATTATTTCGATTCGTTCGAAAAAATGTAAATTATTATAAAAATAATTCATTTTGTAATATCAAAATTTGAGTATTTAAGATGATATCATCGCTAATTTAATACAGGAAGCGTACATTTATTTTTACTGCCTTCAAACAGTTAGATAATCCCTAATGGTTATTATTTATTAACTTAAAAAACCCAAGGAATTTTCGGAAATTGAGTACAATGGAGAATTTTCGTGATCATATTATATAAAAGTGAAGAGGTAACGATCTAAAAACGAGGTCTAGTCAGAGACAATAATTATATAATCATTAATATTTTCAATACTTGATTACTTTTAAACAATGACTCTCTCTTTTAGTAATCCACTTAAATGTGGATAATTAATTAATCAAAGCGTAATGTTAATCAAATACTATTATTATTTATAACATCTTATGTCGATAGTAGCCAAATATTATTAAATTTCTTTTATTTTATATTCCATTTTACAGCTTTAATTACAGCTCTTTTCTCTCTCTCAAAGAAGATTTAGTATCAATTAGGCTGTATTAATTCACAACAGTTTATTTTCAATTTAATAAACTGTTATTTATGTATTATTTTCATTAAAGTTTACATCAAAGGTATTAAATATTAATAATATTTTAATTAAATTACATATATATGAGACGTTTATTTTTAGTGGGGCAAGTCTATTTTTCCTTGTTTCGAGATATGTAAGGGCTTATGTTTCAAGATATTTAAGAACATTGGTAAGAATTAATAGAAATCTTTCATGTATTTTATGATATATATTTAGATTATTTAAATTTTTTAAATGTTAAAATATCCGTTAACAAAGATTATTAAGAAACTAGGTTAAACCTCTTATAGGAGAGTGTCCTGTGAACAGAATGAAAATGAGAAGTGGAAAGAATCGCTTCATCGAATTTCGATGGTTTGATAAAAATCTACTTTTGTTTTTTAAATGGTTGACTCGGTCTTTAAACTACATAAACAGCACTCGCCCGGATGAATACGTGTTCGGAATATCACGCATAAATCCAACATGCATAGACGCCTTTATGTCAATAATGTCGCGAATATGTCCTTCCAAATCTATTGTTTATCGTTGGAAAAAGTAGTAATTTAACAATACAGTAGCCTGGAAATGAGCGGAACTTTAAAAATTCTCTACCATTGCTACTTTCATCGATCTTCCACTCAATAATTATTAGACAATTAAATAATGTATTGGGCGATTAATGTAGATTTAATTAACCGTAATTTTTTTATTTATTTAAATAAATGACAATTATAACTATACTTTGTTAATTTTTTAAATAATATTATTTACATTAAATTTATTATCGATACAGGCGAGTACTGTACTTAAATAAACGTTAAAGATGCAATTGGCAAGAGTTCAACTTTTCCACTCTGGAATTTCATCAATGAACTTATACCATTAAAGCTCTTACCTAATTATACTTTTAACATAAATTATCTATAAAAATTACTTTTTAATCTATTCTAACCGGAAATTTTAAGAAATAAGTTGGAAACTCGGGTGAATTTCTTAGATTTCTATCGATAAGGATAAGTCTAGGGTGCCTCAGACAATAAAACAAAACTTCTACTTCAAACAATTTATAGATGAGTGGAGTTACAAAAGAGTTCTGCTTTCCTAAACGAAAATAGATTAATAATACAATAATTACCGAGCAATTATTATTATTTTTATATATCTTTAACGGGCAAAACAATGAATAAAGGTCTATAAGGCGATTACGTTATCACGCATGCCACGGATACTTCTTTCGTAAGACCGAAGAATTAGAAGAGATTGTTTAACAGAAATGTGACTTTAAAGCTTATTTTTTAATACAGGAAAGCTATTTTTAACCGTTAAAGAGAATATTTAAATGTCGTAATTGCAGAGAATTCTCTGTGTAGCGGGTTCAAATTTGCTATTCCATTCGATAGTCTGTTGTTATTTATTATACCATCGCTCGATACGGGAAATAAAATATAAAAAAAATGTCTGCCAAACGATATCGAATAGTACAAAAGATAGAATAAATAAAAACGAACATTATTTATTACCTAGTAATATCAATAATTGATACTTTTATTGCCTTTTCGCCGCTTGGTCCTGGCAAGTGTGTGCATTGCAGCATCTGTACATAAAGTTTGACCCATCGGAGCGAATCCAATATCGACAGGGCAGTCAAATATGATTCAATTGTGCAAAGAGCAGTTTTATGGCAAATGAAAAGCAATTTCAGAATAGCAAAGTCGCGTGAGGAAATCCTATATTTTTACCAATTTTTTTTTCTGTCATTCTGTATTTGTTGGAATATTAATGACAGTGTGCCATTTGTATCAGTCGAAAGGGATAATTGGCGTTGATAATTGTCGATTGAATTGTAGTACGCTTCGATGACATTGACAGTCTATTTGTGTTTTCGAGGCCCTCGGAAACATTTTTTTTTTTATAGGAAAAATTTCATTACATTGGCTTTTTTTTTATTTCGAAGTCTCCGCGTAGACACTATTGTTGGGATAATGGTCGCTTGAACGATCCTGACGGTGGCAAGCTAACATGATTGAAGAGAACCAAACAATACTGATAATGCGATCCAGAATCATAGATACTATCTCGTTGGGGTGGGAAAAGATCCCTAAAGTGGACGACCCAGTGACAAAATCCGAATTTTTATAAGTAATTTACATAGAGGCAAACGTTCTACTAATTGGCAAAACAGAGATTTAATAATAGACGAGGAGGCAATTGTTAAAAGTTACCAAAGCGAGAAAAATTGATAAAGATCAAATCGGCGAGGAAATTAATAAAAAGGTTTATTTTTATTTTTAGTCTGATCTTCGGCTCGACATTAGTAGCGGGGGGAGGGTTGTTTATTTCGCGTTTGATGCTTAACACTGGTAAGTTGGGTTGTTATTGACTGTACTTTTATAATAGGAAGAGGGAGAGTACTCGAAGCTGTTGTAGAAATTCCGTTCGACTGGTTTCTTCTTATAGCAGCGGGAGGCAAAATCACTCAATCAATTGGCAATTTTAGAAGAGTGAAAATTTAAGGAGTGTTCGACGTCCCGTAGTTTTATTATATAAGTTTTTATCAATACAGAAAGAGCAGGAAATTATAGCCAAGTTTCATTACCTCGTAACTTCCTTACTTAATGATTCATATAAAAATTCTGCTTAAGGTAAGTTCTTAACTGACGTTTCTTTTTTCCTAGAAAGAAATATCATGCGGGAAGGAAACAAATTTCCAGGAAACTCGAATTGATTATGCGAATTGACAATGAAAACTTGACATTGATGCAATGCATAAATTTAATTTCCGATCAATATATTTATGCTACGTCGAGAGCTTTATAGGGATGAATACAAAACGAAAAATATTTTTCGAAAATAAAACAAGATAAATCATATTAATTCGAATATTTTAATACGATCGTGTTAAAACCTTATAGGTTTAATTGAGTCATTAAGTTATCCTACTTAAAAAATTCCATCTTTTTAAAAGAATTATTCGAATTTGGCCTTAGATTAGTAATTAATTAAAATTTATATCCAGCTTTTAAATTAAATCCGGAAAAACATTTTAAATAAAGTTTAATGGATAAGATATCTTAACCTAAGTAGGGTTTTTTTTTAAAAAAAAAAGGAAATGAAATTCTTAATAAATACACAAATAAAAAGAATAAGTCGACAGTTTCGAGAGGATATTTGAAATATTTTATTTAGTGGGCTCAAGTTTCTACTCCAAGGTCACAAAAAAATCGATCAATTTTCTCAACTCTATAGAAGTGGAGTGTCCGAGCCGTCGAAAGTAGACAATGCAATCCTCCTAGCCTCAAGTAATACAACCATCGCTAATTCCTGCCACTTTTTTTTGTTCGATAGCACGAGTTGGTCATGTGACGCGTGCTGGCGACAATAAAGTAGCCATTGTAGTAGGAGGATCGCAACTCGCAGGGATTTTTCAATGGAGGAGAGTCGAGCAACCGGACATCTGTCACCGTTACAAAATGACCAGAATGGAGGAAGAAATTACTAAAAAAAAAAAAAAAACTTGTTTATTAGTGATAAATGTTTGCGTGCGCCGTAGAACAATGAGTAAATTTAATGAATGGAGTAGGAGCTATTGTGAAAATTGTTAAATGGAGGAGACTCATCCGCGAGGAAACGAAAACGTGCAGACTTGGCATTCATTTCTAGAAAGGAGTCGCGATTTGCGTGAGATATAACAGGATGTCGCCTCTTTAGATTACGTAAAAAAATAACTTTAAGGCTAAAGAGATTAGAGACTGAATTAAAGTTACGTAAGCGTTCTATAAAGCGAAACGTATACGAGCCTGTACTTCGTATATTAAAATAAACAAGGCATATCTCCTTGTTTTCGTGAGAGCAATCTCCGTTTAATAATATTCTGTAGAAAAGTCACAGTAACTACTGGTAATACGACGAATCCTAAGCTGCCCCCTTCTTGAGCCGTTCTCATTGGATGATGTCGACACGTGATATTGACACCGTCAAGTGAATGACGGGAAGCTAGCGATGCTATCACTCGTAGAGTAAACGCGCTGCCGTCCGGATGGAAGTTAGTTAACCAGCAAAAGTTTTATAAATTAGGTAAGAATCTTTATAAAAAATTACTTTACTTTTTCATTCGGTTTCTATGTAGAAAAGTTATTTAAATTCTATTGTTTTTTTTTTGTTTTCTTAACCTATACGAACTTTCGTATTGTTAAGCTTTAGTTTTACGTGACTCGACCGACTTGAAACTGGTCTGAGCGTGATAAGTCGGAAATGTTCTTAACTTATTTTAGGAATTAGTCAACGAGTGTGAAATATTTACGAGGGTTTTCATTAAAACTTCTATCAATGTGAGTCAGTGATATGAGTCATGTAAGGGGACAAAACCATGCGGCGAATGATTAGAGGATAGAAAACTACCTTTTACTTCTACCCCTTCGTAAATGGAGAGTGTATAGGAATGATTCCGTGAGTCATCCGGTCCCCAAAGAATTTCTCTTCTCGTATAAATCATTAATTTCACCCCTCGAAATTCCGATGATCCCTTCCATTTTCAATCATTTCTTTTTTATTTACTCTCTAAATCTTTATCTTTTAAACAACTTTCGTCTATTACGAAACTTTAGCATTTTTGTCGAGGGAGATTGCAAAATCGATGTATGCAACTTAAGTTTTAAACAGATAACTCGATCGACTTACTCTCCCTCCGGTCGAAACCCCCCAGGTAAACCATCTCAGGTAAAAAACACACCTTAAAACGAGTCTCTTCTTTTCGTGTCCCGCTCCCCTTTTTTTTTCATTTCTTTCTTTTTTGAGAAATCAGTGGACCATATCCCATTTGAGAGGCGATTTGAGGGTCGCTCCACCTCTTTCCTGACTCATAAAACTAGTCATAGGAAGTAAGACGTCCGTCCGAGAAAACACCTCGATCGTAGGTGGAGGTTGAGGGAAACCGGATGTGACGTCACGTCGCGGATGAGAAGTACTTCCGATTTGGATGCTTGCGTAATTTTTTTTTGTTAACCCGCATTCGAATAACCCGTTGTGGAACGAGGTTGACATTACGACCATTCGGACAATGCCCCAATTACCTATTCGATCATTTAAGTTGCGTGCTTAAACACACGTCTGAACATATTGATTGCTACGTATACATACTGCACTTAGTAGGGAACGTCCGTCGTCCCGTCTTATGCTAAGAAAGACAACTCATTTAACTAATTGAAAGAAAAATCGAATCTTCCTGACGAAATATTCCCCTGTCTGAATGGCAGTCTAATATGAAAAATATGAACAGGGAGGGTTGCTTACATATATATATATATAAAAAAAAGAAGAAATCTATTTTGATGTAAACGAATTTGGAGGAATTGTACTCGGAATCCCATTCACCTTAAGTGAATGCATGGATTAAAAAAAATAGTTTATGTAATGCTTTTCAGTTGAGTCTGATAGGTTACTTTTTGTTCGCGGTAGGGAGTTGCATTCAGTGATTGTGCGAGCGAAGAAAAAGAAGAAAAGATGGGAGGAGAGAAGTACCACAGATTGTAAGCCGTCTGCGTTTCTGTAAAGTGATTCTACCTACTCGGACCGGGATGGTTCCGTTCTTATATATATAAAAAAAAGAAATTTCCACTGTTATTTGTCATGCGAACAGTTATTTAAATGTTACAACTTGCTCGAAAGAAGTTGTGTAAAAATCGATTGATGCTTAGAATCGACGCTGTGTAATATACTAAATCTGTAATAATTAGCGGCTCTCGTCGTGTTTGGATTTATGACTCATGATCCGTCCATGCTTCACGCTGCGTGTTGCGTGGTTTAGAGAACTGAGATGACATGACGCCCGGGATTTAACTTTGTTTTGAATTATTGATGGAAGTCCGGGATCTTCTGACTCATGCGATGAATTGGGGAGATTCGTGCGAAAACTCTTTTCACTATCTTAACTCGGGTTAAAGCGAAGCAAATAACTAAATTTGAGTGTTTACATTATTTTGACTGATTCCGCTATGCACCTGCGACCGTTTTTCAAACGTCCAAGTATTTAAAACCTCTTAAGCACTCGAAATCTGACGTAATGAAGTTCGGTTTATTTTCATTTGTCAGGATATTTTTTTATTTATTTTTTGCCTTCGCTTACATTTAACAAATAATACTAAACCAAGCGTGTTTAGCGTCATTAAAATTACATTTTAACCTCTCCTATAACCTCTAAAACAATTGCTTACCGCTACATCCTGTGTATTTAATTATTGTACGAGATTTTTATAAATGCGTTTTGGCCTGTCCTCTTTAACTAATTATCGCTCTCGCTAGCGGTTCAATTCGATAAAACCTCGATAATATTTAAGCAGAAACGGACTCATTAAAAGATAATCCAAGAATTTCGTGACTCGCAAAATCTACTGCGACGATTTTTATCGCTAAATGAGTTAAGTCTAGCGACGAAATGCGATCGAATAAAAGCGATAAAGAAGTAGTACAAAGTTTGAACTTTCAGCTTAAAACTTGTCGTCTCGAACAAAGCTTATTGCGTATAAATGAATAAATCACAATTGTTCGGTTATTTTTAGGGAAGTTTTTTTTTTGTGTGTGTGTGTGAGTGTAGCTCTGGTTACCTTCAACAGGTGTTATCTACCTGTCAAAACAGGTAAAAGTCAGCAAAGCGTGACGATCGGAGAAACTAATGGCGGCCATCAGTTTCCACGATAACTTTTAAGATAATGGCTTGGACTTATAGTCTGGGAACGACACAGAAAACTGGTCGTTAAATTTTCTTCACCATCCCGTCGAATTAAGTGTGTCAATAAAAAGAATATATATACTAAGAAACTTATTCTTAGAGAAGAATGTTTGTCGAGTACACAGCGGTGGTACAATGAATGGATAGTATGTTTACCTCCCTTCACCGGCGGAAAGCTATAAACAGGAAAAATGGCAACCAGCAGCTGTACAAGTTAACGCTTTGTTCCTTTACATCGAATGAATCAGTGGTCATTCACGACCCGAAATGCGCCGCGGTCGGTCGCTTCACACGAGTTTCAATGCCACGAAACGCTTTTCTTAGCACAAATAATTATTTCTAAAAATAACCGAAGAAATCCTCAAGTGGATGAGAGATTTTACGAGCGTTTATACGGTATTGTTTACAGAAAAAATAAGTGTAGTTGACGGGATCCGGTTACGGTACTCGTATTCGCTTCCTACAACTAAACACTGTTATTTTAATAGAAAAAAAAAAGGCACTTAAAAAGTTCTTCGATTTATGTTTATGCATGCAGGAAAATATTTATTATATTTTTGATAAGTCATATAATAACCGTCTCGCACATTATACGATATCGGTTATATCAATACCAGGATGACATTTGATAGTTAAGCCAAGCATGAAATTTCTTTCGTTCTACCGGCTCAAATGGTAGGCGATTAGGTATCCTCCTTAACTACATTAAATTCTATGTAATTTTGTGAGTTAGACAACGGTCAATTCGAATTATTTCACCCTACTTTTAACCACGTAAATAAAATAAATTCTAAAGTGGCACGCTTCTAGATTTAAATTTTAAAAAAACTAGAAAATAAACAAAAGAATAAGAGAATATTTCCGAGGCGAGATAATTTTCGGCAAGACTTTTGCCACCTGCCCCGTTTGGATTATTATAAACAGTGGTCTAGTTTCCCATGGGAGTAAGGGCGCACTTACAATAGTGGGTGATGGCTGGAGACAGGAAGTAGACCTTTGTGTTCTTTCAAAGAGCCATCATCTATGTCAATACGACAGATTGACGGAAGACAAGCATCTGACTTAGCACTCGACCGAAAAAGCGGAAAGACGTCGAATGAAACCGTCCGTGAAATTAAAAGGTGATTTATTCTATTCGCCACCTAAATTTCCACACTTCGACCTTTGATCCGATTGCGGGCACACCTACTCCTCACCTGCACACCTTTCGGCTTTGACTCACTCCTATAAAGACTCTCCCCCCTTTTTTTTTCGAAACCTTTATCCAAACTTTACCATTCTTTTTCTCTTGCTCCGGTTGAGATGTATTCGTAAAAGAGACAAAATTCTAATTTTCTTTGGGAAATTTTACATCTAAAGCAGAAGGTTTAACCGATTTTTACGGCATTTTGTTTTGTTTACTAGTGAAATATTATGCCACGTTTACATCCTACAATATTCCAATTTCTTTATTTCTTTAGAATAAACTTACTTTTCTCATATTAAAAAATAAGAAAATAAGAATCTCCATTTAATACACTTTCGATCAGTTAAATTTTTGATTTATTTATTTATTTTTTGTGTGACTTGGAGCCTTATATCACGCACTCCCCCTTTTTTTACATACTTTTTAATAGAATGAATAATTACAGACGTATCCAATTTTTCAACGTTTCTAATCTTAATTTAGTAAAGATGCAATTTTTAAACACTGTTTATAAAGGGGCTTTTATGTACATCTTTTGAGAACGTCTCCTACTTGTTAAAATTAAATTAATACAAGGGAATGCTTTGCGGTAGATACGCATTATGATATGCCATATCAATTATAACGGCAAAAATTAGACGGTGACAGCTGTCTACGAAAGAGATGCCTTTGCCAGAGGCCTTACTCTTATTCGAGACAAGCTTTCATCTTTGCTCCAATTGTATTATCATTTCTTTAATAAAAATGAAGATCAATTGGTTATATAATAGATGTAGGCGTAGATTTAAAATCATTTACAAAGATTTTTCTTTGGCTCTCCGGCGACATTTTTACAAATTATTCGTTCCTAATACTGCATTGTATGAGGGAACAAATGCTCGTGATTTATTTAAAATTTATTCTTTTATTAATTTATGATAAATATTTCTAGTGTTTTTTATTTTTAAAAGATGAATATTTATATTTCAGGTTGGAGAATCTTCGAAAAGAGGAAAACCATGAAGGCGATCATTTTATCCATACTTGTTTTTTTGGTCTCAGTCGACAGCAAGTGCCCAACAGACTGTTTTTGTGGCATAAGACACGGAAGAAATACTGTTCTGTGCGAAAACGGGGGGATGAAATCGATACCTATATCAGAAATAGACAAGAACGTGGAAGTGCTTATTATCTCGGCTCCTGCCGATAATCCCAATAATTTGACTCTAGGACGCATATTTTTCGACTTTGGTCTCTTAAGGGAAGTTCAAATCACACATTCTTACATTCCAGCTATCGGTGATAGCTCTTTCTGGCCCGGATACAATATGCGACGGTTAGATTTAAGTTTTAACAACCTGACACTCCTACGGGAAAAGGATTTCAACGGCCTGAAAAATTTAACTAGCCTTAATCTTAGTAATAATAATCTGGCTGCTCCGCCTTCGGCCACATTCAGGCTTCTGACTAATTTACGGAACTTGTCATTGGCTAGAAATAAATTCACTTCTTTTGTACCACGTTTATTCTTCGAATTACATCGTTTGGAAATTTTGGATTTAAGCGGCAATCCGATAAAAGAGATTAATCCGGATAATATGAAAGATCTTTGGCCTTTAAGGGTTTTAAATTTATCTTATTGTCAATTAAGTAAACTACATTTTCATATTTATCAGAGATTACCAAATTTAGAAGTGTTAGATCTGAGATATAATCGATTCTCGTCTTTGATCTCTAACGAATTTAGTTTTATGCCATTTTTAAGAAACTTGTATTTGGATCACAACATGTTGGAGTATCTGGAAAATCATACATTTGCTGGAATATCCCTGAAACATTTAGGATTATCTCATAATCGAATAACCGAGATATCTCCCTGTGCCTTTTGCAATACAACCATCGTTAAGTTGGATTTATCCCACAATTATCTGAAGGATCTTCAACTCTTAATCCTAATGGATTCTGGAAATACATTAACCAATCTGAAATTAAGTTATAACCCCGTAAATGCAGAAGTTGTGGCCGGAATTTTACAACAGTTACCCAATCTACGAGAACTATCCCTCTCCGGTATCGATCTAAGTCATTTGACTTCAAGAATGTTTCATAACAATATTAATTTGAATTATTTAGATTTATCTAACAATAAACTTTTTAACTTATCCTCTTCTTCTATTGATTATTTAGAAAACTTGACAATCCTGGATTTGTCATCCAATAAATTTAAAGCTCTGAATACTTCGGTATTGTCAATTTTCGACACCATTAATCAAGTATACCTGGATCAAAACCCTTGGTCTTGCACCGATTGCGATTTCACAGAGATGCTACAGTGGATTAACGCCTCGGAAACTTATAAAAAAACCTGCGAAACCAGCAAAAGATGCGCTAAATGTTCATCCCCCATGCAATTATACGAAAGAGAAGTGTCCACTCTACAACTTGAGGAGATGGGTTCGTGTATTAAACCCTTTACACAATTTAGAGTAGAAATGTTAGTGAATCCTCAACTCGGACTTATCATCGCCCTCTCCGCCATGATGGTGCTTTTAATAATTATTATTGTTATCATACTTTATCGCAGGCACGGAGCGGTTTATTACACTCACGAAGAAGAAAGAAGCGACGAGGGAGACAAAGCATCCCTGACGGATGCAAATGGAACATTGGACGATAAGAAGTTGGCATTCATAACGATTGAAGATAACTTGGACGATAGGTCGTTGACCAAAAACATAATCGGATAGTCTTTTTTTTTTTTTTCCTGTATAGACCAATCGATACGCTCGTGACAAAGCGAGAATTTATTCAATTAGCAAGATCTCCCTCAAGACAATCATGCAGGAGAGTGTGGTTTGCATCAAAAGTCAGTCAAATGCCAAAGATATTTAATTCGATTTGGAATAAATCGGAATGTAATTTTGTGGGTAGAATGCCAAAAACGAATCACTTTGTAATAACATTTTTAAACATTTGAAAGAATGAAATTTCTCTTTTATAAATCGGGTGTATATAACTTATATACAAGGAAGCTTGTCGATGTCTTCGTTGGGACCAAAAAAATATGTGTCATGTTCCAGCATCTCATATTGTGATCCGACGTAGAACATTATTATTAATTATTATTATTATTATTATTATTTTCTATTAAAGAAAAAAAAACTGACAGTGAAATATCTACAAACCAAAATGTTCTTGTGTTGATTTTAAGTACGAACTTTTTAGTTCCTAGAAACCGAAATGACTTTTTAATTTTTATGACAGTGTTTGTTGGATATTTCCGAATACTTTTTTAAAATAAAATATTTGTTTTGTACAAAATTCTATATAATTTCTCATCGTCGATGCCTTCATTTAATTGGTATAACTATAATTAAAATTGCTTTTATTACTTAATTTAATGTTACATTAAATCTTAGCAGACTTTAACGTAAAATTTAATTAATTTCCAATTCGTTTTTTTTCTAAATTTTATTTAAAAAAAAAAAAAATGTCTTATTCAAAACTTCGTAATTTCCTAATAAGTTGCCTCCTGCTGCCATCTACAGGCAAGAAAATTATAAAAAGTAAAAAAGATTTTAATATTTTATAATTAAAATTTCTTATCGTTAAACTAAAAAGTTTATTAATAAAATTTTTAAACTTTATTAATAAATAATTAACTTTAAGATTAATTACATGTAAATTTTATAATAAAAAATAAATAAATAAATAAATTATTTAAAATTTTCTTAAGAGATGGCAGCACGATAAAGAGAAAGATATTTTTCGAAATTTTTTAAATTTAATTAATGTAATTTTAAAAACGATAAAATACATTACTAGATTATTATGTTTTACGGTCATTACAGAGACGTAAACTGTCAAATTCGCTGTCAAAGTTAGAAAAGAGGGATCACGCCACCTTCGCATTAGCTTACATGAGAAAGTTTCATCAATGTTAATTACTTGGTTAAACTATCAGAGACCGAAAATGCGAATTGCAATGATGGAATATCTGAAAATTCTTAAATGTCGACTGCCATAAAACTCGAATTAAAACCTTCAATCGGCTTTTTACAGAGCCGAATAGATCGGCCCTTTTTTTTGCTTGTTTTCTAAGGAAATAAAATAAGTAGGATGCTTCTTTATTAATAAAAAAAATCAGTCTTAAAGGGGTGTTTTGTTAGTAAAACTAACATCGATTTATTGGGGTAAGAACCGCAAGTTTTCTCCGAGAAAAAAAATCGTCGAAAATTCCCCTATCCACGGAATTCGAATCGTACCGTTAGACGGGCATTTTTTGGGGATATTTCCCCAAAAAATTCCCGACTTGAGGGTGACTTTATCGAAGTTTACTATTAGATCCTTGGATACTAATAATAGCTGAGCTTTCGGCATGTCAACACAAAAATGTTTGCACAGTTTACGAATATTTCTTTGTACATTTCTATAAAAATAATCACTAGAATTGAAAGTTACGACAACAAAATCCATTCTTTATTTATTTTTAGGAAACTTGGAATCTTATTCCTCACTCTTCTTTTTTATTCCCCCACTTTGTTTTTCAAGGTTAAAAAATAAAGAATCTGTACTTACGAATAGAATTACTTCTACATAAGTCTTACTTATCTGAATTAATAAAAAGTCAATTACTTAAAGTAGTTTAAAAAAAATTAAATATGCTCTTAGCTTACTAATTAATTGAGTTTAGAGTTAGAGTACATTGCCCGATAACCTTTTTTTTTTTTTCCTTAACAGAATAAATTAATTTGAAAATTAATTATAAAAATTCAATTATTTTTATCTTCTCATTATTCACTGAGCAGAAATTTTTAAGTGAAAATATTTGAATAACTTTATTGTGCATTGTTTTTTTTTTTACCTAGAGGGGTGATCTCATTACTGTTTTTCATGTAATGAGTATAATACAACGATATCAATCGGTTATTTCCGACTATGGAGCCTTATTCGAAATGTAAAACAAGTTTACATGAATGTAAATAAGGTTATATGAGTACACGTCAAAACCTCCGAACAACGACCACCGATGGAACATCAAAAATGATCGTTGTTATATTTATTTGTTTATTAAAAATAAAAGTCAACTTGATTAAACTTTATCCTAATATTTTTCTATTTTTATATAGCTTCTTATTTTTATTTACATATATATACATATATATTTTAACAAATAGGCCATTCAAATTGCATTTCAAGACAGTCAATCTCTCTTTTATTTATATCATGGTGAAACTTACACCGTATATATGTGCATTTTTTTTTTTTTTTTAACAAAGTGTATCTACTCACCTTTCTTTCTTCACTTTATTAAATTGTTTTAGTCAAACAACATCTACACTTTTTTTATTCAACGTTTTCTTTCCCCATACATTGCTAACTTTCCTGTTACTATGTTAAAGTTGAGCTCCCTAAACTTTGTTTCTATTGATCATTTAATATATTCTACATAGAGTCTTTGCTTCTCCTGATTCTTGAATGTAGTCCAATAGAGTTTTTTTTTTTTTTTTTTTTAATTCCTGAATCTTTTCTTCCTTATTGAATCTTTGCTGCGTGGAAATAAATAGCTTTTTTATAGTTACTAATTGTTTTATTTTTTACAATTTTTTTCATTTTAATTAAAGTGACAGGTTATTATTCAACAGTATATTTAACCTATTAAAAATAGCTTATTCTAAGTTATTTTTATTATTTCTTCTAATTAAATTGACTGTGGTTAGAAAGTATTCGTACAAATAGAAAACACTATTATTATTATTATTATTATTTTTAATTTCGTATATTTTGAGCACAGAAATAAATTAATTGTAATAATATATGTTACAAATAAATATACTTTATAACAATGATAATTAGAAGTTAAATAATCGAAGAAATTAGATAAAAAACGCATTTATCGATTCGTTTAGGGGGTCGAGAATCGATTCTTCTCGAAATTATTAAACGAATCAGAATTTCTTCTCGGATATCCGGAATAAATTCTTTCTAGAATACCCTTCAACTGCCTTACGTGACATACCAAACTTGTCCCCATTTAGTTTCTATCGGTATTTTCTAGTACGTAACATTGAATTGTAAAAATTTCAAATTATTTTCCTATTCGCTATATTTTTTTTTACAACTATTTAATTAAATTCTATAAATATAAGATATATATTATATATAATTTCAATTTAAATAATTTTCTTTGTTATTTTTATTAATTAAAATCAGTTTATTCTCATATTCGTAAATAAACACGCCAGCGAATAAATGATTTTCCATTCTCTGACGGCGACACTAAACCTTTTGTCATTATGTATTATCGAAGATTTCAGTAAATTTAATAATTTTTATTATTCTCTAACCGTATTTAATTACTCGAAGTCGAAAAATAATATCGAACTTCATACAGAAGCGTGTATTATGTACAAAGCGAAGTCACATGTATCAACAATACAACTGCCAGCTGGCATTGGAAATTTCTTGCTTACAAACAGGATAACACCGACTTCCGTTTTCTAATGTTTTATGTATATCCTATCGTCGATCGATGGATGTAACGACACAAACAGATATACGGTTACACCTTTTGTATTATTACTTTTAAATATATAAAAAATAATAATAATAATTTAAATGGAATAATCCTTCAAGTGCAGGCACCTTAATTGTCTATTGTTTGAAGCAGAAAGTTTTTATTACCTCCATGGAAAAAGTATTCTCAGACAAATACTAAAAATAATTCCCGACACTTTATTTGTCCCATTTAACAAGCGTGGAAAGTTTGGCAGTATTTCTGACTGTAGTAAAAATAACTTCGAACAAAAATGCTCACTCAGTGTTTCGAGTTCAAAGTAGAATCAGTTAAAAACACGTAATAATTAAATAAAACTAATTTAATAGTAATAAAATTCCATATAATAGCCATTTCTTTTTTCTATTTATTTATTGATTGTGACTAGTACAAGATGCTTGTGTGTTTTTTTATTATTATTATTGATTGGATATTTTCAAATCTGTTGCTTCATTGTAATATATTTTTAAACAATATTACAGCTTATAGATTACAAAAGGCACTTTAAATTATATTTTATTAAAGCGTAATATGAAATTTAAATGGTTATACACGCGTAAAGCGCATTTCATTCTTTTAAAAAATACATTTCCGTGCATCATTTTGTAAGTTTTCATTCGGAAAAAAAGGAATGTCATTTATAATTCAATGGATTAAACATTCCACAACAAAAATATTAACTTTTCAATTAAATATTGACACATCTTACGCACAGATTTGAATGGAAACGATTGTATAAATTTCAGAATTGATCCTGTTAAATCCTTGGAAACGGCATTTATAATTATAAATATAACAGTAAATGTTATTTTATAAATAAAATTACGCTTCGATTTACTAAATATATTCATTCACGATAAAGTGATAAATTCAGAAAACATTCAAATAACTTTACATAATGTACAAGACATCTACTTGTGTATAAAATTACTCGATTCACAATACATACGTTATATATATATTGGTGCAAGATTTTTTTTTATTTTTTTACATAATTTTCCCATAACGTATAACACGTCAACAGAGGTAGAAGTTTTATAGAATTTACGATATTAATTTCCAGCAAAAGGATAAAAATTTCCCGACATAATATCGTTCGATAAAATATTTGCAGTCATCAAAAGGGAAAAGTAGCAGGAATCTTCCGCAATTTCCATCGATTTTTGATAAAAGATTGAATAAATTTCTAAATTGTTGTTGTTCTATCGGCGATAACTTCTTTTTCGTCTTCATCCGTACATATTTTACTGGAACAAGCTTCGACACCTTCACTTTTTGGAAGAGAGGGAGGGAAAGTAGAAAATACAGCATCGTACAACAGACCTCCTACGATTCCACCCGAAAGTGGACCTATCCAGTACACCTATATAATCATAAATACATGTAATAAAGCACGTTTCTTAGACGATATTGAAAATATAAATGATTAATTAATTACCCAGTGATCTTTCCACATTCCCGAAAATACAGCGGGTCCCAGAGATCTCGCACAATTCATACTGGATCCCGTATAGTTAACCTGAAAAATAAACATCTTTAAAATGGAAAATCTTATAGAAATTACATTAATAATCGTACTTAATAATTTCGGCTTTTAAAATTGCTTATTCGACTAAATAATTATTTGGAATTTACTCATTTCCGATGTAATTAGTCTAATTGAAGTCATGAAAATTACTAGACGAGAGCGTATGTTGTGTATAGCAAATGTGGGAAAGAATAGAAAATGGCGAACAACAACTAATTAACTAGTGAAAACTGAAGGGGGAAAAAAAACGTATTCAGAGATAGAATTTCCGAGAGAAATGATGATTTCTGATGCTGTTAACGCTGTTGACATAACTTTAGTGGACGGTAATGAAGCGGCAGATACTTCAATCTCGATCGATACACGTTGCTCTTTTATAAAGTCCAAGCGGCTTTCAGAAATTTAAAGACTTCTTTAAACGGACAAAATCAAAATATTCCCCCATTTCACTTAATGTAATACATTCTAACACGCTTCATATAATAGACTAAATAATAATATAATTTCTTCTGTCGAATGACAACTGTTACTTATTATTATTTTTTTTTTTTGAACTCGGGGACGTTTAACGATGAAAGAAGCGAATGTCATATAAATATTTACATTCTAATGATGAGTAATACGTCAGTAAAGATAAGTTCCCGATTATTTATAGTTACATTAGGAAAGTCTGCTCGTCCCCCTCCTAAAAATAACGAAAATAACACCAGTCTTAAAAATATCACTTACGGCAAAGAGGTGTGACGTCACTACAATCAGGCCGATGGTCAGAGCGGGAGATCCGGTGGCATCTCTCCTGTTTGCATCGCAGACGGAAAACACGGTTAAAACTAGAGCGAAGGTGATGAGGAATTCCACGCCCCACGCTTGAACTGGTGTCAAGTTGGAATTGACTAGAGTCGTACCTAAAACTTCGTTCTGTGCGGTGGGTGTCAATGCCTTCAACAGGCCGGCTCCGGTGACGGCTCCCAGGCATTGACAGATTATATAGAAGACGGATCTGATGACGGAGCATTTTCCGGTCAGCATCATAGCCATCGTCACCGCTGGATTGATGTGACCCCCACTCACGTGACCTATAGCATGTACGATGCATCCCACCGCTAATCCGAATGCCAGAGCGATTTGTACCACTGTAGGTTTGTAATCCCGAGTCCAATCTCCGATACAAGATCCACAACCGATTAAAACTAGAAGAGCGGTTCCTATGTATTCCGCCAAGAGAGCCTTCCACAGAGGACTAAAAACTGACAACTCGTTTATACCGAAAATATTTCTGAAGCGGCTGACTCGACCCATCTTCGAGTCGAGTTCTGACTGAACTCTGCCGACTCCAGCTTTCAATTAGCAGTTGGCGCGTTTGTGAACACCAATGGAGAGACTCGTCCAATAGCTTCTTTTCTTCTCCTTTACGTCACTAACAGGTACACCCGAAAAAAGAGTAAAAAAAAAAAATCGGTAAGAAATGTTCTTTTGCAATTACTTTACAAGATAGCATCTTATAATTTAACAACTGAATAAAAATAATTAATAAACGAGTATCTACATCGGTAACAATGAATCTTCCCAGCACAACACTCCAGCTCAACACTTCGGTCACCATTTTTATTGATGATAACTTTGCTTAAATAAGCATAAAAAAAAAAAACAAGAGGATTAAACTTTCCTGAGATTAATTCCGTGTTACTAATTAACTTTAATCATTAATATTCTTTAAGTCCGGATTTTAATTAAAATTTAGCAATCTTTAAAGCATTAATTTGCCAAGTACGACTTTGGGCAGAAGAAAAGAAACATTGTTGATGATTAATTTATTTTTTAAATGGAGATAATTAAGCAATGATAATTTTACACGCTACAGTTAACATTTAATGTTTTACATAATTTTTAATACCATTATTTACTTAATTTACTTGCAAAAAGATTATTCATTAAATAATTTATGTTTTTTAAATATGGTTTCCTTA